TTCGTCATTTTATTAAGTCATTGAAAGAAGTTACATTTATACATTTTTACATATAGGGCTATTACATAATCACTATGACTATTCTAGTATTATGTTATGCATAAATTGCTTCTTGGTCAGCTAATTTTCCATTACCTCAGCTCATAGTTTTTTACCTTTTTGATGCGAATGGATTATTCGCGCATTCTTCTAGCTTGTAAGGGGTATGGTGATAGTCGGCAATTGATTGTTTCGCGTAAGCTTCGGTCGCGTCACGATCGTCTGTCACGTGACCACGGCGAAAATTCTGAACTTCTTTGGCCTTTAACAGTACCCATAGTTCTTTTCTTGAATCTTGTTTTTTAATTATTCTAACTATAATATCAGGAATATTGAGTCTATTTCAACTTATATGTTGGTTATGTCATCTTATACGTTATCAATTTTATGAATTTAATTCTTAAACTGCTTTTAGTTTTAATGGTTAAGATAAAACAAATGCTGTATTTTTTACGGCGCTTTACGTCAATTAATGTCGTTTAATAATGTTTAAAATAATATTTATATAACACGCAAGTTTGAATTGCGATCTCAACATAATTTCGATTCTTGGCAAACATTATCTGTCTTGATATTTTTACTAAATTCGTTTATTTTATTTATGACAAAATATGATTCTCTGCATAAGAAACGGCGAGCAATGACCATCCCATTATATCCCACGGTGCTAACTTGACGGCTCTTTGTGCAGCTTCTAGCATCTCTTGGCCATTTTTCTTATATTCAATTATTTTCTTATTTTTTCTTTTCCTTTCCTTACCCTTTCTTGATGTCTCCTTGGTATTATCTAACATAGCGTCTTCACCAAGAACTGATTTAATAATATCTTCGCCTTTATCCGCTTCATAATCACTTTCATTGTCTTCAATAATTTCATCGGCCTCTTCTGGTAGGTTATGTTTTAGCTTTTCCCTTGTGATTATCAAAGCTGCGGTGTAATTTTGAAATACTTTTAACATCTCCTTTAACCCAAGGTTTTTGGAAGCAGAGGATAGGGGGTTGGAAATCAATTCATAAGCTGCACATGATGTTGAAACAGATGCAAACGGTGTAGAAATTGAAATGAGATGAGATGATAAATTTGTCCAACAAGTAAGATCGTAAGGCTTAAGTAGGACCGCTTTAGATAACAAGTCTGTTGATTCTTCAAATGAACCCTATATTATAAATATGCGAAATTATTCGTGAAAATTGTCAAAATAAATAAATAAATAAATAAATAAATAAATAAAATAAAATAAAATAAAATAAAATAAAATTAACAAACAAAAAGAAATATACTTTTAGCAAGAAATATCGACTAAGCAAAAAATCTATATCCCTGTTTTTGTCAAACTTATCTATTAAATATAATATGCTTAGAATATTGATCACTAATATGTTACAAGAAACATAGTAACATCTGGGGAATTTACCGGTAGTTTTTAACGGTAACTTGATCATTTCTTTTATGGCCGCATTGACTAAAACATGATCATCTTGTAACAAACCCATGGCGCACAACCCAAATATTGCAGGAAGATAGTTTGGATTCTGTTCGATACTTTTCAATAGGAAATGATAATTAGTTTCTGATTATTTCTTTGGTTGTCTAAAAATCACCTGATCGGTATTTACCATGCAAACAATTCATCTTCCGCCATGTTCGTTTGCTCTTCACCTTCTAGAGCCCAAAGCGCTTGTGATAATAAAACCGCGACATCCTTACGCAGATCACCAATTCCAATATTATCCTCAGAATTTTGTCCCTGATCTAAATATTTCTCAGCATAATCAATCTCACTAAATGCCTCTTCAATCATTTTAAGCGAATTTTCTAATTCGTTGTTAAAATAATATGCCAACCCTGCTCCCAAGGTAGTGTAAATTTTAAAGGATATCATTAACAAAGATTTGAAATCTTGTTCTTTGATCAGATCCAATGCTTTATTATATGCCTTTATCGATCCATCGAAATCTCTTGCACTGCAGAGAACTCTTCCCAAATTTCCAAGCACATATGCAAGCCTTTTAACAAATGGGATTATTTTTGATGACAATGAGGACTCATCTTCATCCTGAGCTAAAAACAACTGTTGCAACTGTTGAATTTTTTGTTCAATAAGAGTGATCGCACAATTAAATAATTCCGCGGATTTTTCTGACTGCTCAAGACATTCGCATAATAGGCCCAGTAGGTTTAATGATGTCGGGTCATTCGGATTTTGCTCCGTAAATTTTTTCAAGGCGAATGCTGGCGATATTAACGAAGATTTGTGATACTTTAATGATTTCTTGTACCGTGCAAATGCTCGAGACGCAAAACCGTAATCTGCTTCGAGCTATGTAAAAAAACAGGCAAAAAATAAATACTCATCAAAGAATAAAAGAGAAACAAGATGCACTTATTGCCAAGAAATTTTACCACGTGGCCGCCACTGATTTCATATGCATGTTCAAATAATTCCGTAGCCTCATCGTTCCCCCAAAGGTTTGCGACATACGCTTGTCCGACCCAGGCTAATGCATAATCAGGATCAAGAGATCGTGATGTTGAAAATGCTTGCTCAGCAAGTTCTAAATCAGAATGAAATAAATACAAGATTCCCAAATTTGCCCATAATATTGGATTCTAAAAATTAAGTTAGATGGCAAACCACGTAAGTAACAATGTACTCACATATTACCCGCGTTCGAAGTAGCAATAATTAATAACAACACCTTTGGGGAATACATGATAGCCTTGATAAAAGAATGCTGACTAATTTTCGCATCGAGTAAAATAGTTAAGATTCCGAGTGCATTCCAAAAATCGGAATTGATAGGTTCAAATTTCAAAGCAATTTTGGTACACCTGATCGCAACGTTCATGTAGCCTGCTGACAAGTGGTCATATTCGTCCAGTGCTTGGTCCCTTCTAGAATAACAATCGAAAATTTTGTGATACGCAATTGCCAAATCATACCACAATGGTGGTGCAACATCTGGGTTATTTCCACTAAGAACAATCGCATATTTATAAGCAAGACATCCACAGGTAAGGATTATCAAAATTAAATCCGAATTTGAAATGCTATCTCCATTAGAACTATCACATAGATTAAGACCAAACTCATCAATATCTTTGGAAAGATGCAATTTTGTATCAAGATCAATATTTCTAGTGATTTTAAGGAATTTTTTTATAGAATTTAAGGGAATCAAATGTAGGTAGTTTTGCAGAAAATGTGCAGTAATGCAAAGATCTCCTATTAGTTTCCAAAGAGATTGATACCGATCATATGTTTCTATGTTTTGATGCATTTTTAATAGACCTTCACTTAATGATTCGGCCGCTCGACCATATAATCCAGTAGAGAAGTACTCTTTTGCCAATTCCAGGTAACAATCACCAATACCCTTAATTGATGGCAGATGGTTTTCATCACCTTTCATTTTAGCCTTCTCAATAGTTATATTGTATTGGTCAATGGCTTCATCTAAAATGCCCAATTTTTGCTTAATATTGGCAACCTGAAAATGAGAATAGATTGATGAAGGATCCAGCTCGATGGCTCGCATGAAGGTTTTCATCGAAGCCGTATATCGACCTAATTGTCGATATGCTTCTGCAAGACCTTCCCAACATCTAACATCCTTAGTATCGATTCTAAGAGCTTTTTGAAAGTTGATTGCGGCTTCCGAATAATTTCCATTAGTCTTCGGGCAGTAGGTGAATGTAAGAGTAAAATTTACATTAGAGATATATAAAGCAATTCATTAATCAAGAGTATGTAATGACCTAAGAAGAAACCGATACACACAAATTCGGAAAAGCCCAATTGCTTCCAAGCCCATCCAGCCTGGGAATTCGCTTGTGTGGCTGTACTATATATTCCAAGCGCCAAGTCCTCCTCCCCTTGAGACTCCAAATATTTTCCTAGTTGTGTCCCGGCTTCTTCATCCTGTGCATCAATTGTAAATGCTTTCTGATAACATTTCTTTGCTTTCACATGATCCTTCGCAATTAGCCGATAATAATGTCCAAGATACGTATATGAACTTGCAAATTGTGAATCTAATTTGACTGAATAGATAAATTGAGAGTACGCATATTGCTTATCATTTCGATATTCTCCTATAGATGAAAATTCCATTAATTATTTAAAGATCTTCATAAGTAAATAAATGCAACTAATTTTTTCCTACTCGCCATCAAAAGCCCAGTATATTCTTCCAAAACGATAGTAATTAAGAGCGCTTTCATTGCAGATTTCAATTGCTTCCGAAATAAATTTAATTGCTTCTTCAAAATTTCCCATTAAAAAATAGACCCATCCAAGTTCACTTTTTGAAATATAATCTCGCATATCTAATTTAATAGCCTCTTCAAATATTTCAATGGACTCCTTATATTTCCCTTGTGAAGACAATATTTTGCCCATTCCCTTTTAAATATAAAAAAACTTTACTAAATTAAATAAACAAAAAACAAATATTAATTATAAGATACAGTCTTACTTGAAGAACCACAATGCTGTTCTGATCCTTTTGTCGAATTTTCTTATACAGCAACATTGCCTCATTATGGAATTTTGCACCAATGTTTAGATAACAATTAGCCATACATAGTTCCAAAGATAGTGAAACTCTAATTATAAGCAAACGTTTAACGTTCAGACATTGGCTAGTTATAATGATTATACAAATGAAGAATCACCTATCCAATTTATTTCCAGTTTTCTTGCTGTACTTGTTTATCAAATCTTTGCCATTCTTTGCGTACTCCAGAGCCAATTCATAGTTCTTGGAATCATGATTAAACCAGCTTAACGCCATATGTTCAAAGATGCTATTTGGTTCCATTTCAGACCCTTCCTATTTATAGTGTGCATGCAAGCGAAAAACGTTAATAGGAGTTAAAGAATATTAAAATAAAAGATACGGATAATGTCAAAAATATACATTATAAAGTTCCCGAGCTTCAAATATATCTCCTTCTAATGCCCTAAAATATCCTCGAATTATTTTTGATAGACTAGTATCAGGAAAATTCACTGAATACTTTTTTAGCAAATCACTATCATATTTATCTGAGAGAAGGAATGATTCGTCAAAATTCAAGATCCTACGATACATTAAAGTACAATTAATCTCAGAATAAAATCAAATCTTGCCTAGTGAGCTTGCATTGGTTCTATCAATAAGTATTTCATATGGCAGTCGAGAAATTGTATCATTCTGGCCAACTAACAGTTCTGCACGTTTGAAAATCTTCGCTATCAACTAATAATAGATTCGACACATATTTACTATAATTCGCAAGATAGCAAAACAAAAATCGCAAATACCTGCTGTTTCTTCTCTGAAGGAACAAAAGAAAGCTTTTTGTGAAGATGAGAGACGTAGTTCACGAATATCTTGGCTTTATCAACATCAGAGGTATCTGAGCTGTTATCCAAAATTTCAAGTAGGGAATCATAGAATCTTTCCAACTGTTTTATTTTGAACGCAATGGTGTTAAAAGAAACAAAAAAAAAAAAAGACAATCAAATCAAATAAAATAAAATACAATCATAACTAAAACCTACTTCTGAATTACTGTAAACTTCATTTTCGACCTGAGCTTTAATAGTAGCTGGAGTTCCTGCATTAAGACGATACCTTCTAGCTTCGATCTCACGTCGAATTGTTTCGGACTCTTCCTTCTCAACCAGGTCTATTATTTGTAACAATATTTGCTTCGGCGACGGAAGTTCATCTGAACCTCGTATCAATTCGTAATAAGTACTTGTTGGTAGCAGATACTTTAAAGCTGCAACCACCTTGCGAATATATTTTAATTTTTAAACACTTATGCGTAATTCAGAAACCTTAATATTTAAAATTTTTCAAAACCTTTTAAATACCTTTTTCCGATCTTTTTCTTTATTTGAATGCAGATCTACAAGTTTATTTATAATATCCAATGCTTCTTTACTAAATGAAAGAAAATCTTCTTGGATATGTCTAATGACGCCTAATAATAATAATATTTAAAACAAACAGTACCTTTCCGATCTCTCTTTATATTTATTTAATAATTCCATCCAAGTTTCACCAAGTTTTTCCCAGTTTTCCCGTTTTTCATAAAAGTTTGCGAGGCCCTATTCCATTAAATAATAAATAATTGTTAACAACCATATAATATACTCATAAAAAAAAGTCTATCATAACAAACGAACAATTAACAAGAAATAATCATGCAAGTACCTGCCATGCAAGCGGCTGAGCGGAATTAATCTCAATGGCTCGTCGATACGATTGTTCACTTTCAGTAAATGCATTCAAATTTAATTGAGCAACGCCAAGGAATACATACCTAACATGGATGAAATAATATAAAAAATATGTTCTAGGTAAATGAACATAATAAAAATCAAGCAACTCACGCATTATAGTTGTCGGCTTCAAACTGCAAGACATTTCGACAGTGCTTTATAACATCCTCGTAGTTTTTTGCTTTGATCGCATCCCTTGCGTTTTTCAACGAAGTTTTTATGAAATACATTAATTTTATCACATGATTTTTGAATTGCACAAATTGATGCGATTACATACCGTACACTCCCATTACACAAATCAGTTGACCGGCAATCAAATTTGGCGATCAATGATTTAATAAATATTTATATAATCAATACTAGAATTATTAAATAATTATTATTTGGTTTTTTTAAATATTATTATTGTTGTTTTAATATTCAATTAATATTATTATATATTTTTATTGGAAATATTAAAGCAATAGCCAATGTTACTTTGCTAATTTTTATAGTATATATTGCTTGCAAATACTATATTAAATTAAAGTTTTCATATTTTTTATATTAAAATATAAATATAAAATTATTAATAGATTTTTATATAATATTAAATAATTCATAATAATATTTCTTTTAAAATAAATATTTTAATAAAAATTACTTTTTAATACAATTATATTAGAAAATTTAATCTAAATAAATTTTATATTAAAAAAAAATTAATAAATAAAAATTTGATTTAAAAATAGTATTATATACTATATATAATTTATTTTATTTTTATTTAAAAAATAAAATTTTTTTTAAAAAATTGTATTATACTATAATAATATATCTTTATTTAAAGATCTAATGTAATTACAGACTTTTTATAATATAATTACTTGTCTTTATATAAAAGTATATTAAGTTTAATTTTGATAATAATATTATATTTCTCTAATTAAATTGAATTTATTTCAATTTATTAAGATAATTATCAATAATTTATAATTAATAATTGATCTAAAAAATCACAAATTATTAAAGTTAAAGAAGAAAAAAAAAGAATTAAATAATAAGAGAATAATTTAAATTATTTACAATAAGTATCAAATAAACAATATTTCATTGAAAGGGATTCATCTAATTGAAATATTCTTTTTACTTTAACTTAAATTTAAAAAATTTAATTATTATTATTTTTAATATTTAAATAACTAATTTAACTAGTTTTTTATTTAAATATATTTCTAATTAAAATAGTTTAAAAATAAACAATTTTTGATTTTTATCTAATAAAGTTTTATTATTACTTAAAAACTTAATAGTAATAAAAGTTAAAAATTAATTTTATTCATTTTTTATTTTTTGTTATTATATATATTTTTCTTAAAAACTTAATATATTAAAAAAGTACGTTTTTTAACCATTTTTCTAATTACTAATGAAATTATTGAAATATTTTAATATTATCAATAAAAACTTGCTTATATTTTATAAATCAATATATTTTAAATCAAATAATTATATTTAATAATAATTATATTATCTAAAATTTAGAATCAAACTGAAATAAAAAAATTTTTTAAAAAATTATAAAAGTTGAAATTCTAAAAGGGCACAAATAATTAAAAAAGAAATAAATAATTTTTTATAATAAAAAATCTTTATATTATTTACTTTAAAAAATAAAAAGCTTTAGATACTTTATAATTAGTTTCTTTTTTTTTGAAAACTTTTTTATTATTAATATTAAAAATATTATTTAACTTGGTTTAATTATTAATTATTAAGTTTTTTAACAAAAAAGATTATAAATAAATAAAAAAGAATAAAGATAACTATTAAATTTATTTTAAGTTATTTTTAAAAAAGTATTAATACTTAATTAATAAATAAGTAACAAAATTTATTATTATTTTTTTTTTAAACCCATGGTCAGGTCAGCAATGTGTGTTTATTAATCAATATGAAAACTGATAGAAATATATAGAACAATTGCATCATGGCCAAACTAAAAACTTGTACTGATATACTCATCAATGGCTTTCAATTTTCAAATAAGTTTCAGCCTCTAAATGCAATCTTAGGGACAATGTTTCTATCTGAAATAAGTTTTAAGTGAAGACCCTCCTAACTTACCCATCATTGCCAACAGGTTGTCACTACTTATTATCTTCCAAGGAACTGATTTTGAGAAACAACAAAAGGAAAAGGAGAAAAGAAAAGGAAAGTGAATATCTAAAAATACACAATTATGCTATATAAAAATGAAAAAAGAAAAAGAAAAAATAAAAGTGTTCTATATCCTTCAAAGAACTTCTACTAGAAACCTCTTCTCATTAGGAATCAATCCTTCTGAAATATTCTTTTTATTTTTGACCGTCTAAGGAACTTATCCATCTGTGCTCTTAATTATTTTTTATGACTATCTGAGATACTTATCACCTATTCGGATCCAGTGTCTTGCTCAACACTTCCTTTCTTTCGATCTTGATTTTATATTTATTCGCATAGAACTAAATGACTAATGATGAATCCTAGATTCTTATATAACTTTTTAACCTTGTTGTGTAACTTCTAATATCTTTCAAACATCACGCCTAGTTAAGGAAATTTTACTAATATATATCTTTCATTACCCAAAAAGTCAGATTCTCCAACAATCTTTTTGCCTTGCAATGGTGTGAGAGTCTCAAATAGTATGGGGATTCTTATTAATTACAATATCATTACACAATGTCTAGAGCAATGCATTTTCAATTCTAGAGAAGGGCTGTGTTTTACATTCCTCTGCTTTCAATTTTACAGTCTAACCAGAATAAGGAAATAATCTCTTTCATATACTTTGCCTAATCAGGATAATAAGAAGTTGAAGGCCTCGACTTGAACAAATAACCATCTTTTTACCACCTAGGAAATTTAGTGCCTATCCTAATGGCCTCATGATTTCTTTGCTTCACTTAAACTTTATTTTAAGAAGTGGAGAAGTTCATATTCTTAATTTCTCTTTCAATTACCAATGATATTATTAGAATATGTGAGGTAACCAATAAGAACTTGTTTATATTCAGTTACTAATATGTTTGTGTTAACCAATCAGATGCCAGGTGACATTGTGTTATCAAAAATTCAGAGTCAAACTGAGGTAGGCAAAATCTCTCAAGAAAATTGTGAAAACTAGTAAGCACATTAAGAGTGTGTAAGACAATATGTGAGAAGGTGAAAAATAAGTCTTCTCCTATTAACAGAACCTCTATTTCTTGTTGCTTCTAGCTCTGTGAAGTAACACTCCACTTATTAGTCCTTTTTTTCCTAGAACTTTTTTGTCTTTAGTAGAGGAAATGCATACTTGAGTCTTTTCAGACCACAAGAGGCTCAAGTTTTTATTCAAAGGAATTTATAAACAAGTAAGGGGGGTAGAAGAGATAAATGAAGACAAGCTTCAAGTTGTTTTAATAAAAGTATAAAGACTTTATTAATAAAGAAGTATAAAACTTCTTGTAAACATCTTTTTTATGTGTAATCAAAAAATTAGTGGAAAGAGTTAATAAGTAACAAAATTTATTATAAATATATTTTTTATATATAATTAAAGAGTATAGTTTAAAAGTAAAACTATTTCTGCTAATTCTCTAACCACACATAAAAAAGATATTCGCAAGAAGTTTTTATACTTCCTTGCTAATAAAGTCTTAATACTTTCCTTAAAACAACTTGAAGTATGACTTCAAGAGTCACTTTTACCCTTCTCTATTGTTTACAAACCTCTTCACTTAAAAACTTGATTCCTAGTGATCAAGAAAAGTCAAGCAATATCTTTGATACCAATGGCAAGAAAGTTCCCAAAAGAAGAAGAACTGACTGTGAAATATTTGAAGGTCTATTTAACCTTTGAAACAAGAGATATATAGAGGTTTTTGATGACAGAAGGGCTTATTTTCCCCCTTCCAGTTACTTGTGGGCCTCTTAAAGCTATTGCTTTCATAGTTTTCTGGAGAATTTTGCCTATCTCAGTTTGATCCTGAATTTTTGGTAGCACAAATCCTTACCAAAGGTAATTGGCTGACACAAAACACATCAGTTTTTGGAATGTAAACAAGTTTCAATTGGTCATATTCATGTGTCTTGATACATCATTGGTAATGTAAGAAAGAAAGTTCTAGAAAAAGTGTTCCCTTCAATCATATATATTCAACCTTCAGAAAACAATTATGATACTGAAAGATGAACAATGGATATGAAAAAAAGATTTAACTCCTATCCCTTATTAAGTTCCTCAGATAGTGAAAAGGCTTTCTTGAACAAAAGCTGAGGTTTCCAAGCTTCTTTCCCAGTCAGACAAAGTTCTTGAAATGATTTCTTTATCCTAGTCAGGCAAACTCTTCCATAATATGATGTTGGCCTTAACAACAATAAGTGAATTTAGATATTGGAAGAAGGATAAGTTTCTCAAACGTTCTTCTTGAAGTCATTTTCAGGAATAGATAAATTCCTCAAATGTTATAAAGCTTAGATAATATCCCAATCAGGTAAACTTTTTTTGAGAGAAAACTGTGAAATAAAGCAAGAACCTTTTGAGAGCTTTGATTTGCATTCCCTATTTCCTTTTTCCTAGTGTCAACTTTAGTAATTTATTATTTTTCAAGATAATCTATAGTAATAAACTGTTGGTAATGACCTTGGTTGACTTAGAGGCACTATTGCCAAGCTACTAGAAGAGTGAAATATTGTCCCCTAAATCTGACTTAGAATACCTAGTTTAGACTTAGTTTTGTTTAGTCTGAACTAGCTTAGTAAACTCATTATATTTTTTAAATAATGTAATCCTTTAACTAATAATATACAACGACAAGTTAGTTACTTTGTGAAAGTCTGTAAAATATTGAAGTATTTCTCATTATCTCAATAAAGACATGCCATTGTAGCATGATTGTGAGTTAAAAAAAAAAGAATATAGTTTAAAAGTTTTTTGTATTTAAAAAAATTTTTTTTTTTTAAATTTTAAAATACAATTAAGAATTTATATAAATAATATTAAAATATAATTTATTAATACTATAAGAAATAAAAGAAATCGACCTGTGGATCTATAGCACAGTGGTAGTGCTCCCAGATCACAATCACAAGGTCCAGAGTTCAATACTACATAAGGACCAAGTGAAAATTAAGCCAGCAGTGGTAAAAAGATTACATCTAACACATGATACTGATCAGGCACCCCAACACGGCTATAAATCAAGGGATCATCCGCTCACCATGT